CACATCTAAGACGTTCACCTATGTACCGTTTTGTGCAGCACAAGTTGAACAGCAAGAGCCTTCCCACTGAGTCTAAGGATCCCCCTTCACCATCACATTTCAGACAACATAAGCTTTGCAGAGAAAACTTCTCAGCACAGCTGGGTCATGCTGAGCATCTCATCAACCAACACCCCCAAAGTACTCAGGGCATCTCTCATCCATTCTCCAACCAGCCTGTATCTATGCTTAGAATTGCCCTGACCCAAAAGCAGGACTTTGAAATTGGCCTTGTTGAACTTCATGAGGTTCTCACATGTTCATCTCTCAAGCCTGTTCAGGTCCCTCTGAATGGCATCCCTTCCCTCCAGCATGTCATGTACCACTTTGGTGTCATAAACTTGCTGAAGGTGCAGTCCATCCCACTGTTCATGTCGACAAATGTTGAGCAGCACTGTGACAATACTAACCCATGTGTAATGCCACTCATCACTGGTTTTCACATGGACACAACCACTGACCATGACTCTTTGAGTAGGACCATTCAGCCAATTCCTTATCCACAAAGTGGTCCATCTGTCAAACCCATGTCTCTCTAGTGTTGAGACAAGGATCTTGTGTGCAACAGCATCACATGATTTTCTCAGATCCAGGTAGGTAACATCACTCTTCCCTTATCCACCAAAGGTGTAACCCCATTGTAGAAGACCACCGTATCTCAGGCACAATTAGGGAAGCCATGGTGTCTCTCACCAATCACCTCATTGTGCTTTAGTGCAATTTCCTGGATGATCTGCTCCATTGATATTACTAGGCATACCAATGCCTGCTCTCTTGCCTGCTGTCCTGAAATCCAGGGTAGTCAGCTTGCTGTGGGCCCTCCTCACTATGTAAGGATCTCAAACTCCAGCGTTTCATGGTCACTGCAGCCATGGCTGCCCTCAAGCTTCACATTCCCCACCAGCCCCTCTTTGTTGGTGAGGACAAGGTCCGGCATAGGCCTTCTCCTCAATGGCTACTCTGTCCCTTGGAGGAGGAAGTTATCACCAGTGCATTTTAGGAATCTCCTGCATTGCTTATGCCCTGCTTTGTTGTCCCCCCAATGATATCTGGGTGATTGAAGTCCCCCATGAGGACCAGCACTTGTGAACATGAGGCTACTCCTATCTTTCTGTAGAAGGCCTCATCATCCTGGTCTTCATCTTTGGGCAGCCTGTAACAGACACCCACTTCATCAAGAGAAAAGATATACAGAGGTCTTCTTACCATGGATATTTGACTTCTCACCATGTGTATGCGACGAGCATTTCTTCCAGTGACATTTTAAAGAAATGTCTGTGAAATTATTTCTCTTTACAGCTGTAAGCATGAAAGGCATGTATGGGAAAGGCAGACAAAAGTAACATTTCTCATCTTCCACACATATTAGGGATAACATCCCACATTCAGCTAATCACAAGGCAAGAAACACGTGCAGAAAGGAAAAGATCACGGCATGCTCTTCTACATTATGGCACTTAGAGAAGTATATATAATCCAGGTATTCAGTAGGCAATGGAAAGACCGTTGCCTCCTCTCAAAGCTCCTGTTATGACACATTTCATAAGTACATAATTCAGCTGTTAATAAGAACACCACAACAACCTACCAGCACAAAAGAGGCTCCACATACAGCTGGAATAATACGTCTTCTAGCAAACTCTCTTTGGGGAGATGAAACTCACAATGCATGATATTACAGCTGGGCACTAAACAGGGAATGAAGTAAACCATGTCTCTTATGCCCTTCAACAATCCCTCAAGCACAGCTCCACAAACTCTCCCCTCCAACCCTTCACAACCTGAGTTCTTTGACCCTCATCATTTGCAAGCACTTGACATCCAGGGGAGAGTTGCCCAGACCACTTTTCTTCCCCATGCACCACCATCATGGCACAGCCTTCATATCAATATCTAAATATTTAGGATTCTCTTTCATCTTAACAGGCAGACATTGTCAGGGAAACAGTTGTTACCCAGTCCATTCTGCCCCAGCTGCACACAAAGATCACAACGTGGACAAATGCAAAGACATTTCATTGCTTACCATGCATATCATGGAGAAACACAAAGGTTAAGAATAGAAAAAATGAGCACCAGAGTTATAGCCGGGGTTACTATATATCAAGAGAATCTCACACAAGTCAAGCACAGTTGTGGCTGGGAAGACAGTGCCTGTACAAATTAATCCATCCTACCTGGACTACCTTTTCTGCAGAAGCCTTACCCCAAACATGGGTGACACTTCTCCTTCATCAGGGTGGAACAACCCATAACTTGATGAAATATAACAAGGGAAAGTGTAGAGTCCTGCATCTGGGCAGGAACAACCCCAGGTTCCAGTATAGGTTGGGAAACGACCTGTTAGAGAGCAGTGTAGGGGAGAGGGACCTGGGGGTCCTAGTGGACGACAGAATGACCATGAGCCAACACTGTGCCCTTGTGGCCAAGAAGACCAATGGCATCCTGGGCTGTATTAGAAGGGGGGTGGTTAGTAGGTCGAGAGAGGTCCTCCTTCCCCTCTACTCTGCCCTGGTGAAACCGCATCTAGAATATTGTGTCCAGTTCTGGGCCCCTCAGTTCAAGAAGACAGGGAGCTGCTGGAGAGAGTCCAGCGCAGGGCAACAAAGATGATTAAGGGAGTGGAGCATCTCCCTTATGAGGCAAGACTGAGGGAGCTGGGTCTCTATAGTTTGGAGAAGAGGAGACTGAGGGGTGACCTTATTAGTGTATATAAATATATAAAGGGGGAGTGTCACGAGGATGGAGCCAGGCTCTATTCAGTGGCAAACAATGATAGGACAAGGGGTAATGGGTACAAACTGGAACACAAGAGGTTCCACTTAAAATTGAGAAGAAACTTCTTCTCAGTGAGGGTGACGGAACACTGGAACAGGCTGCCCAGGGAGGTTGTGGAGTCTCCTTCCCTGGAGACATTCAAAACCCGCCTGGACACATTCCTATGTAACATTATCTAGGTGTTCCTGCTCCGGCAGGGGGATTGGACTAGATGATCTTTCGAGGTCCCTTCCAATCTCTAGCATACTGTGATACTGTGATAACTGTAACTTTCATTGAGAAACCATGCATATTTCAGAAAGGAAAAATCTCCATGAAGCATCAACCCCATTTGCCCAACCACATCATGTAGAGTTCAAGGATTTCATTCTAAATAGTAAGGATTTGCCATCAACTTTAGTGACTCATAACATTTCAAACAATAGAAGCTTCATAGAAAATACTCAGCTGAACCTGAATGTGTGATAAACTAAAAAGATTCACCACATCTACCATTTTGAAGAGCCATCACTGACCACCTGCCCTTACTGTAAATGAAAAGGTTGGGTTTTTTTTATTTTTTGCCTTGTGAGCATCCAGCATCAGCAGAGCTCATTTCATCTCAGACCTCACCACAGGACTGTTCTATTTAGCACAAGTTGAACGGCAGGAACCTCCAACAGAGCCTATGTATGTGACGGCTATTGACACTGGATCTGCCAGTTTACAGGGTCTCAGCTTTTCTTAAGCCAGTCCCTTTGTGATCCTTGAGGTGATCCTGCCCAGACAGAAATAACAGACCTTCCATGGTTCTGCTACTTTTACCGCAAGGAACAATGGTTATGAAATGGTAATATAATACAAAGTTCTCTTCATATGACGTGCAGAGTCTTATGAGCTGTAGCCCATCAGTCCACAGGCACAAGGGACAGCCATTCCCTCTGGACTTTCCTACTTTTTCCCTGCACTCTGGAGGCTGCTCTGGATTGGTTCTCCTTCTTCCACCACCACTTGCGATTTTTTCATTACAGCCTGACACTACAGGTTGCACTTAAGCTTAGGACTTGGGGCTCTGTTCTAGAGTAACTCAGCAGCAGGAAGGGATGTACAATCTCTGTCGAGGGTCATTAGAAGGAAACCAAAATCCATCAGAAAGCGTTAAACATGTTAAACATCACATTAAAAGTACAGCTTAGGGTGTTATAAAAAGAGGCTATAACATACAAAACCTTTTTCCTTTTTTTTTTTTTTTTTGAGATCAAGCAACATAACTCCCGTTAAACAAGACAGAGCAACAAAGGCAGAAAATGAGGGTACCAAAAAAATTAGAAAACTGCACAAATAACTCAGAGAAATAACGCATGGTCAAAATTAAGCTGCCATTTCTGCATCAAAATATGAGAGGGCACATGGCAGAGACGGAGGATCAATATGTTGCTTTTCTACTCATGGAGCCACATGCACGTTTCCTTTGGGAGTCCAACACTGAAACAGCATTAACAAAGGGGGTTACATTCAGCTGTCATCCAGGCGCAAGCCCATCTCTTTGGGAAAAAGCAATCACGGAGGAAAAATTTTCTACACCTAAAGTCAACCCCATTTTCCCGACCCTGACATTTCCCGGATCTTATTCTGCACAGCGAGAATCCACCTTCACCGTTACATTTCCTGAACACAAGGTTCATAGAAAACACTTCTTAGCTGAAGCTAAGCCTACAACTACCAAGAAGTGAAACCACAAGCTGCCTGACTCCAAATGGAAGAGGATTGCCTTGTTCTTTCTTTCCTTCATGGACTCATGGAGCAGCACTTCCCATTCCTCGACCCAGCGGAAACCGGCAGAAAAAGGACAGATTCAGAAAGACACAGAGATTAGAACACAAAGGGCTCCTCTGAACCATGATTAAAGCATACTATCTGAAGTGCAGGTTTTGTAGAGAAAATTTCTCCGTTGAAACTCGTGATGAGCATAGACATACCATCATCAACTTACTACTAACGGTGGAAATCTAAACGAAAGAGAAAAATCTCCTGGTGACGCGGGAAGCGCCAATCCACAGTGCCTGCTACCATAAAAAGCCACGGGACAGCGCTCGTGGAAACGCAGATCAGCATGAGGGCCCTCCTCGCAGGCAGAGCAATGACAAATACGAGAACAGAGTCCGAGACAAGGAATCCAAGACGAGGAAAACTGGCTTACATACCTGCGGTGCGTCGGGCTTCGAGGGCGGCTCTCCATCGCCAGGGTTGCTGATCAGGCTCCTCTCCCCGCAGGGCTTCCCACAGAGAAGCTCCTTCACGGGCAGCGGCGGCGGTGGCCAAGCGGCTTCGGCGACGGCGCGCCCGGGAGCCACGCACAGGTTGTAGGAGTAGGGCAAGGTGCCCTCGCAGAAGTCGGCAGGGAAGGCGGCGACAGCGCCGTCCCCGGAAAAGCGCTGTGCGCCCAGACAGCGCAGCACGGCGGGCGGCCCGGCTCGGCGGCTCCTCGCCAGCACGGCCAACGCCACGCTCAGCAGGAAGAGCGCGGACAGGAGAGCCAACGCCAGCACGAGGGAGAACTGCAGCTCCGCCGCCGAGTCGGCGCCCGCCGCCCGCTCGCTCAGCTCCGGCAGCGCCTCCTGCAAGCTCTCGGCCAGCACCACGTGCAGCGTGGCCGTGGCCGACAGCGCCGGCTGCCCGTGGTCCTTCACCACGGCCACGAGCCGCTGCTTCGCCGCGTCCCTGTCCGACACGGCCCGCGCCGTGCGCACCTCGCCGCTGTGCAGCCCCACGCGGAACAGCGCCGGCTCCGGCACCTGCACCAGCTCGTACGACAGCCAGGCGTTGCGCCCCGCATCCGCGTCCACCGCCACCACCTTGGCCACCAGGTACCCGGCCTCGGCCGACCGAGGCACCATCTCGAAAGGGACCGCAGCCGACGCCAGTCCCGGGTCTGCCCCTGCACCCGCCGCTGCTGGCCACAGCACCCGCGGCGCGTTGTCGTTGCGGTCCAACACGAAGACGCGCACCGTCGCTGTCGAGCTCCGCGCCGGTTCCCCGCCATCCTGCGCCCGCACCACCACCGCGAATTCGCGGCACTGCTCGTAGTCGAAGGAGCGCTGCGCGTACATTGCGCCGCTCTGCGCCTCCACCGACACGTACGGGGGCGCGCCCGCGCTGCCGCCTTCCATCGAGTACCTCACGCGCCCGTTGCTGCCTGCGTCCACGTCTCGCGCGCTCACGTGCAGCACCAGCTCGCCCGCCGCGTTGTTCTCCGCCACGTAGGCGCTGTAGGCGGCCTCCTCGAACACCGGCGCGTTGTCGTTCACGTCCGACACCTCCAGCACCAGCACCGTGCTGCTCGAGAGCGCCGGGCTGCCCCGGTCCCTCGCCACCACCGTCACCCTGTGCTCGGACTCCTGTTCCCGGTCCAGCGCGCTCGCCGTCACCACCTTGTACGAGCCGCCAGATGATGCCACCAGAGACAACGGCGCCTCGCCCGACAGCTCGCACCACACCTGACCGTTCTCCCCAGAGTCCGGATCCTTCACGTGCAGCAGGGCCACCACCGTTCCGGCCGGCGAGTCCTCGGGCACCGGGCTCGATACCGACAGTACCGTGATTTCGGGCGCGTTGTCGTTCTCGTCGCTTATGTCTATCTGCACTTCGCAGTAACCGCTTAGCCCGCCGCCGTCTTTCGCCTCCAGGCCAAAGCTGTATTTGGTCTTCTGCTCGAAGTCGAGGTGTCCCGACGTCCTGACTTCGCCAGTGGCAACGTCGATGCTGAACAACGAGCGGACGTCATCCGGGACGTTGCCGAAGGTGTAGGAGACACGCCCGTTAGAGCCCGCGTCCGCATCTGTGGCGTGCACTCGCAGCACAAGCGACCCCGCAGGCAGATTCTCCCGCATTCGAGCCTCGTAGACGCTTTTATTGAAAACGGGCGGGTTGTCGTTGGCGTCCGTCACATTGACACAAACCTGGACCATGCCGGACCTCACGGGATCTCCGCCATCTACCGCCGTCAGCACTAGTTGAAAAGAGCTCTGCTTCTCCCTGTCTAATGCTCTCTCAAGGACTAATTCCGGCTGCTTCTTTCCGCGGGGGGTCTCCTTGACAGCCAGGCTAAAGGACGGGTTGATAGTGAGCTGATAAGTCAGTAGCGAGTTGCTGCCTAAGTCCGTATCTCGGGCCATCTCCAGGGGAAAAGAAGTACCAGGAGGGATCCATTCACCAATTTCGATGTCCAGAGTATCCTTGCTGAAGGCCGGCGAGTTGTCGTTTACGTCATGGATGGCCACGTCGACGTGGAAAACGTTGAGCGGGTTCTGCACCACCGCCTCGAAGCTGACCGAGCAGGTCGCCGACTCGCCGCACATTTCCTCCCGGTCCAGTCTCTCGCTCACGTACAGGTTCCCGTTCTCCCCGCTCACGGTAAAGTATTGCTTCGCGGCGCTCAGCCGCAGCTTGCGTGCCGGCAACTCTTCCGGGCTCAGACCCAGGTCCCGCGCCAGCGGCCCCACCAGCGAGCCTCTGCCCAGCTCCTCGGGAATGGCGTAGCGGAGCCTCTCCGACGCCGCCCGGCAGCACCAGCACAGCAGCAAAGCGGGCAGCAGCACTCGGCCGGCTGCTGGCCGCCGGCTCTGCCTCTGCCTGCTCGCCATTCTCGACAGTGCTCGCCGCGCTCTTCCCTCCTGCCGCTACCTTCTCCCTCTTCCAGCCTCTGCACAGCGAGCGCAGGGGCTGCCGGAGAGCAGCGAGCTCGCTGCCGACTCGGACGCCGCTGCTTCTAGCACCGCCTCTCGCCTCTGTTGCCGGTGCCGGTGCTCTTCTGGCCGGCGCCAGGAGAACGAGCAGCCTGCAGGGGCAGGCAGCTGCGGCTTCGGCTCCAGTGCCTCTCCACGTCGGCCAACAGCGGCACCTGGAGGCGCTGCGATGCCACCGCAGCCGGGTGATGGCGGTGCTCCGTGGGTTTCGGGTTTTCGTCCTTGGGTAGAGGGACTGTGCTCATGATCATAGCAGCTGCAGGCACCCGCCGAAAGATTTCTGTATCTGCGGAATACTTTAAAAGTAGTATTACTTTATGCCATGGTGGGTGAATTTTTTACTCTGAATTGCTCAGATTTGATTTAGATAAGGATTAATAATGATGGAGAAATGTGAGTTAAAGGTAGTGGACGTGAACTCAGACCAGTGTCACTGCCCACACCTGGCAGAGGAAAAGAGGGAAAAAACATGTGGGCTCTTTGCCCTGTGCACATCTTGACATTCCTCTTCCATCCAGAAAAACCTTCAGTGCTCTTGGTGAACCAAAGAATCCAAGACCTGCAATTATATTGGATTTCATATCTCCATTGCTTTGATTTGGTGAGCTTCTAGCAAAAGTCCCCTCACCTGTCCTACCCCTCCAAGGACAGCATGGACAGCTGGATGCTTTTGTGATTTCTGGTGATTATTATAGAAAACAGAAACCTCCATCTGACCTCATCGGGCAGGTATTTGTGCTGTGATGTTCAGCTGCCTTGCCACAAGTCTTTGAATTAAAACATCCTCAGTGCTAAAGGACAGCTTGTTACCCACTAGAAGTAAGCAGTGGGTACAGATATTTGCAAGTATTCTCCATATCTTTCTTGTGAAGCAGAAGCTCAGATCTCTGACATTCCTGATCCTTAATAAAATGAAAAGCTCTGACTCATCCAAATGAGGTAAATACTGGATTCCTGGAAGACAGAGGTGCTTTGTCACAACTCAGTCTTGAAGATTTGTGTCCAAGAGCACCTAGAATTCACTGAGGTTTGAACCTGTCAGCAAACCCTGTCAAATCTGTCCTTGATCCCTTTCACTAGACATTAACCCACGGACTATAACTCTTTGGATGTGTCCAGCTACACACTTCCTCATACATCTGAGAGTATTGTCAAAATCATATCCCTTCAGCTGAGTAGTCAACATGTTATGGGGCAATGTGTGTACACCTTGTACACATTCTCCCTCAGGTCTCTGCTCTGTTCCTGGAAACAGGTTGTGCTGCCACTCTGCACTTCGAGGATGGCAGCAGAGATGGCTTTGCTCTTTCACTACAAACAAGCTTACCTGGGTGAGCACCCGTATGTCTATGAAAGCCTTCCTCTTCCCAGGTGTAAACATCAAATGTGCATACAGGAGCTGCACCTGCACTCAGACAATTGGAACAGATGGGACCTCCTCTCTCTTTGACCAGACACCCTGTGATCCAGCTCTAGCACATGATAAGAAACAAGGCAAGAGAAACACAGAAATGAACAGAGCAGTATGATTAACATTTCTGAGGCCAAATTATTTGTCTGGGGGAATCTCCTGTGCTTTTTCACACAAGCTGTTCCACAGAGATGTGACTTCTACTGAGGTCATGTTTCCATTGGATACACCTGACAATAACAAAATACACCTTTACATTTCCTCTTCCATCCTTCAAACCTGCTGGAGCATGAGCAAGAGGCACTAACACGTGGTGCTTTGCTGTACTAAGCTATGCTAACAATTGCCACTAAACCTGTACACCTAGGAAGTCAAGAAGAGGAAACCAAAACCATTGATTACACAAGCAAAGCAAGGAAACATTAGAAAAGAAAGTCACCAGCTCTTAGCGATTGTTTTCTACTGTGTGGTGTGCTATTCTCCCAGAAATATGAAGCCATAAGAGTAAAGGCTTTTTTATATCCCCTTGTATGCATCTGTATAAAAGACAGATGAGGAATGGTAAGAAAAATGGAACCACCACCCAGGTTGGAAGACAAACTGAATAATAACTGCAGAAAGACAATAAAGAAATCAAGCTTGGAGAAAGTTGAGCCATTCCACTACTGCTGCCATTTCTGCAGCAGTCCTGCGCCAGAAGATGGTGATGGCTGAGGGAGCAACATTCATTAGGGTGGAATAATCTGCAACTTCTCCATTCATGGAGCCCCACACGTTTCCTCATTGAGCCCAACACCAAAACATTAACCAACCGATTCTTAAGCTGTCCATCATGTTGGGAAAAATCACTCATAAAAACTCAAAAATCAAGCAGCAATCATATTTTACCCACAGCATCGTGCAGAGTTGCAAACCGATAAATCAGACAAGCAATGTAAGGAAGCATTAGAAGAGAATGTTTTGCCAGAAGATCTTATCTGGAAGTCTTCTTCCTTCTCAGTGTGGGCATTGAAATTCATCCCTGGGGGCACCTGGAAGTCATTCCTATCTCAAGCTGCTTTGTGTGCCTAAAGTCTTCCTCTGCACTACGTAGTACGGGGCTCAGTTTAATAGTCACCAGCTCTTAGCAATTGTTCTGTATTCTGTAGCCTGCTCTTTCCCCAAAAATATGAAGCTGTAACAGTAAAGGCCTTATTATGGTCCTCTTTTTCCAGCTCAGTATTTATCAATACAACATAAATCTTTTAGCTTCTGCTTTGTTGTCCTCACAGTTACAGTTCTGTCTTAGGTGGATGAAGTATTTGCTGCAAAACAACATGCACAGTTTCAAATGCAAAAGCAATGCCCAAAATGGGAGCAAAGAACCATGACATTTTGGAAAACAAAGGCCCAAAAGAAATTGTAACTGCAGCTATGAAGAAAATCTACATTGTAATGTTACAGGAAGATACCATTTGGAAAAAAAAAAAAAAAAAGTTTCCCAAAAAAATTATAAGCCATTCTACCTATGCATCATCCTTTATGTACCGATTTAGAATGTAAATGGTCTACCGTTGTCTTTCAGTTCAGGGAAGCCAGGAACACACAAAATACAGCACAGACCTCAGCACCAGGCAGAAAATCAAAGCACTGCCCAAATGAAAGCTACACTGACCCACCTATTTTCCTAGTTCCACACCAATCCCTCACCCTCCTTGTTTTGTATTCCTAGCCCTTAGTTGCACTACTGACTGCATCCAATATTTTGGCCATGTGTCAGCCATGCATGAAAGAGCATGTCATTGTGTGACATCTTAGGGAAATAGGTATACCAAAGACTTACCTTTGGTTTTGTAGATTAAATCCTCAAAGTATGGATGGCAACTGTTCCTCTAGCCCAACAAGTATAAGAGATCTTTTAATGTTTTAGGGGTTAGCAGGGACAATAAGGCCCAGATTTAGACCTGGACAAAAACAAAGCAAAAATGGAAAACCTGCAGATGGGAAGGAACTATAGCTTAACATTTCTGAGTATGCCAGCTGTACACAATGAGTACATTTCTGAGTATGCCAGTACACAAGACAGGGATGTAGTTAGTAAAATGTCCACGAGTTCATAGTACAGACCATAACCATATTCTCTCAAGTCAACTTCTTTGAACAATAGAAGTGTGTGGGACCACTACTTTGGGCCTCAACAATGACAAGCTGAAATTTTACACCCTCTCTACATATTTTAGACATTTCAAATTATATCATCGCAAACTTTTACATCTGCCCTGTCTCTAGACAGACAGAATTCCTCACTCTGCCTAAAGCTATACAACAGGAAAGCTACATTTGCAGACAACACTGAAAGAGAAGTTGCACATGCAACTAAGAATAAGGATCACATCAGGGACACATTCAGAGAGATTTTCCTGCTCATCACACTACTACAATGCAATATAAAATGTTCTCTAGTGTGTAAGCAATATGCAGCTCTGATTAAGACCCAGTCATCAAAGTTAGCTCATACTTCAGCACATGGTCAACTTGGCAGATACATGACTCGCAAAGCTTAATGTAAAGCATACACCTATGATCAAAAAATGATCATACAACAGGAAAGCAAACTGATGAACTCACAGCTTGAAGAGTTGGAGATCAACCAAAGCAATATATAAAAAAAAAGACACCTTCAGAATAATTTTCTATATGCCACAATAAACCTGGGAACTGACACAACATGTGCAATGTCTGCACTAATACCTCCTCACATGTAACACCCTGAGACTCTCCTCAAACCCTTCAGAGTTTGCATCATTGCCATCAATCTTCATAATGTGCAGTCAGATTCCATCAAAAGATGCACAGAGAAGGTCTTTACCATGGATAAAATCTGAATTCTCACCACGTATATGTGAGAAGCAACAGCATTTCTTCCAATGACATTTTAAAGAAACATGTCTATGAAAGTCTTTCTTGTCAAAGCAGTAAACACGAAAGGCATGTATGGGACAGGCAGATAAATGTAACATCTGGTCTTGCACACGTTATTAGAAACAACTTCCCACCTTTAGATCATGAGAACAAGCAAGAAAGAAGTGAACACATGTCGGAGTCGCGGGAGACAAGCCTCATGCTATCATGGTCAGCAAGTCTCGTTTATTTAGCAAAATACAGCCATTTTTATAGTCTCATCATTGGTTAGTTTGTGCTAACACAGGGGTTTCTAAAACAATCGCGACCGCTTCTTGTTTCAATATGTTTCACTCTTGCTCAAGCGTTACCGTTGCCTATTCAGCAAGCATACATCCTGTCCTTGAGCAGCCATTGACCACACAGCCTAGATCTTGACTAGTTGCACAGTTTCGTGGCCTTTGTCCTGTAGCCATTCTGCTGTCAGGCTCTCTACAAACACATACAAAACAAAAGGATCATAACATATTCTTGATAATGGCTCTTAGAATAAGTATAGAATTCAGGTCTGAAGTAGGGAATGAATAATCACTTGGCTCCTCCCAAAGCTTATGGCACCTGTCATAAGTACATAATTAAGCTGTCAGTTAAAAACATCACAACAACCTGCAAACACAACAAGAACCTTCCAAAGCTCCCTCTACAGATGGGAAAACATTTCTTTGGCCAAGCTTCTTTGGGAAGATAAAGCATTTCCAAACAACATGGATGGCCCCAGAACAGATAGAGGAGTAACTCATGTCTCTTGTGCCCTTCAACAGCCCCTCAGCCATTTTACCCACGAATCATTGTTCCACATGCAGTTATTATTTCACATGCAACTGCTCACTTACCAGAGGGTTCTCCTTACCTTTCAGGACAGGGAACCAGGAACACAGCATTAATAGCACAGGCCTTGGCACCAGGCATGAAAACAAAGCTTTGCTCAGGCATGTTGACCCATCTATTTCCGTGGATCCAAGCCAACCCGTCACCCTCCTTACTCTGCATTCACACCTTTCATTCACACCATGGACAATATCCCATTTTTGACCATATGCAGGCTTGATGCTGACAATGAAGAGTTTAATCACTTGACATTTTAGGGAATCAGAATTACATAAAAATCTTTGCACCTGAACGTCTTCATGGGATGCATGGAAACTGCTCTCTAAGCCTGATAATTGGAACATCTTTATTTTCAAGGACTCAGACAAACTGAGCCCCAGTTTTAGAACAGAAGGACAAAACAAGGGAAAAAAGAAAAAAAATCCAAAACAAAACTTCAGAAGTGAAGGCACTATAGCTCACCATTTCTGATTATCTCATCTGTAGTAGATATGTAAGAAGAGTATCTAGTTGGTCAGTTAAAGACTCAGGCATCAGTAACAGCAGACACCATCACACATACATCAATGTGGCACAGAAGTGACTGCAACATTTCATGCAATGTTTACATCTCCCCAACAACCACCATTCACAGAAACAGCTGTATCAGACATGACAGCGCATACAACTTGTAACTTCCTGGCACATTAAAGAACAATCAATTCGTAACAGAAATTCCTTCTCATTCACTACTTTCACACCAATTTTAACACTGACATAACATCAGAGGTTGCTTCATGTGAGCAAGAGCCACAGAAAACAAAAGGTTAGCCAAGGCTGGAGAAAGCTTCATATAACAATGGAAATACATCACAATCTTACAAGGACATCTAGATGGCAAAATAACGTTTCCTACGGCAGTTCTTAGACACTAGCCCTGAGTCATGTTGGCGCTTCCATGGCTACTGCTTGTGTACAAATTCATCAGAGGAATGTCATCCTCTGATGACAGGAAAAGGACGCAGGAAAAGGGGGCTCGTGGAAGCTACACTGTTGGTTCCACCCAATGTACTTGCCGTAAGTACATCATACAAATGTTAACAAAACTGCAACATACCAAAGAACAGGAGGAAACACCCAGGGCTCCACATAGAGCTGGAATTACGTATCTCGAGCAAAAATTTTTTGGGAAAAATCACATTGCACGGTGCTCGAAAGGGGAGCTGGATGTGGAAAGCAGCAAAACTTGTCTCTTGTGCCCTTCAACAGAGTCTCACAGACAACCCCCATGAATAGCTAACGATTCACAAGAAGAACGCAGCATCTAACAACCCGTCGCCAAGACTTTTCAATATGCGAACGGAAGAAACTAACACATGTAAAACCAAAATAATACTCACTTCTGGATAATGGCACTTAGAGTAAGCACATAAATAAAGAGCTGGCTCCTCCCAAAGCTCTTATGACACTTGTAAGTGCAGATTTAAAAAGGTGGACCACTTCTACTAGCACATGGGAGCTGATAGAGCACAGCAATGAAATTCTGGGAACTTCGTAATTAAAAGTATGTAAACAATTTCAAGGAAGTGTCAGAGGAAGCCCTAGACTGACATTTCCTTTTGCATCTGCATATGCAATGGAACCTTCCACCCTTAGGGAAAGTTAGATGTGATGAGATCCTACTAGCCGGTAGAGAACATGGCACATGGAGCATAGCACACTTGATTACATTCAGGAGCTGCCTACTACAGTAAAACATTTTCAAAACTGCGAACAGTGCAGTTTGTCGGACACCATAAGAATCCTAAAGCACCTGCGCACAGGTTAAAAAAACGTACCTGAAAGCAAACTTGGCCATCATTGCCGTCAACGTGATCCCCGGTAGGGACGAGATCACCCGAAGCCTCAGGAGGCGGACGGGCTGGGAGGGTGTCGCAGCAGCTGCCTGAGGACAAGCGGAGATGGCTCTTGCGAGAGTCAGCGGTGAGAGACACCTCGTGCGAGTAGGAGTGCAGGAAGGCGCGGACGCCCTCGATGCCCACAAACTGCGAGGCCGGGACGCCGCGCAAGGCGGAGCTGCTCGTCGCCGCCAGCAGCTGCGAGCGGCGCCAGTGCCGCAGGCGCAAGACCAGCAGCAGCAGCAGGAAGGCGAGGAAGAGGCAGGACACGGCCGCCACGGCCAGCACCAGCCAGCGCGTGAGGCTGGCGGCCGGCTCGCCCGGCACCGCCGCCGCGCTGCCCAGCTCCGAGAGCAGCTCGGCCACGCTCTCGGCCAGCACCACCGTGAGCGTGGCCGTGGCCGACAGCGCCGGCCGCCCGTGGTCCTTCACCACCACCACCAGGCTCTGGCGCGCCGCGTCGCGGGCCAGCGGGAAGCGCGCCGTGCGCACCTCGCCGCTGTGCAGCCCCACGCGGAACAGCCCCGGCTCCGTCGCCTTGGCCAGCTCGTACGACAGCCACGCGTTCTGCCCCGCGTCCGCGTCCACCGCCACCACCTTGGCCACCAGCGCCCCGGGCTCCGCCGACCGCGGCGCCAGCTCCACGCCCGCCCAGCCCGACACCGCCGCCGAAGGCGCCGCCGCCGGCGGGTACAGCACCTGCGGCGCGTTGTCGTTCTCGTCCACGATCTCCAGCACCACCGACACGTTGCTGCTCAGCGCCGGCAAGCCGCCGTCCTCCGCCCACACCCACAGCCGCACCTCGCGCACCTCCTCGTAGTCGAACGAGCGCAGCGCGTACAGCGCTCCCGTCTCCGCCTGCACCGACACGTAGGACGAGAGCGGCGCGCCCCTCACCCGCCCCTCCGACAGCCGGTACCGCACGCGCGCGTTCTGCCCCCAGTCCTCGTCCGTTGCCCGCACCGTCAGCACCAGCGCTCCCGCCGCGTTGTTCTCGGCCAGCCGGGCGCTGTAGCGCGGCTCCGCGAACACGGGTGCGTTGTCGTTCACGTCCAGCACCCGTAGCGCCAGCACTGCGCTGCTCTCCTTCACCGGCGACCCGCCGTCCACCGCCCGCACGGTCACGTTGTACTCCGACACCTTCTCGCGGTCCAGCTCCCCCGCCGTCAACACACTGTAGTAGCTGCCCTGTGAGCTCTGGAGCCGGAACGGGACTCCCCCGTCCAGCGAGAACTGCACGTGGCCGTTCGCCCCCGAGTCCCTGTCCTGCACGTGTAGCAGGGCCACCACTGTGCCCGGCTGCGCGTCCTCAGAGATCTCGCTCAGCGACGATCGCACCGAAATCTCGGGGGCGTTGTCGTTGACGTCTGTAACAGCGATCCCGACTTTCGTGGTACCGAAAAGGCCCCCGCTGTCCCGTGCTTGCACGTCTAGTTCGTAGGAGTTATCTTCCTCGAAGTCTAGGCTGCGAACCAAGGTGAGCTCTCCCGTCTCAGAGTCCAGCTGAAACATAACCGATGTCAGCTGCATTTCTTTCAACGAGTATTTCACGTGCCCGTTAAGACCCTCGTCGGCGTCGGAGGCCGTGAGGGTGACGAGGACGGAGCCCACGGGCACATCCTCGGCCACACGCACCGTGTACTCCTCCTGGCTGAAAACGGGCGCGTTGTCGTTGGCGTCCAGAACGGCCACGCGGATCCGCGCCGTGCCCGTCCGTGCAGGCTCTCCGCCGTCGCTCGCCCTCAGCACCAGCTCGTGAAACGCCGCCTCCTCCCGGTCCAGCGCCTTCTCCAGCACCAGCTCGGGACGCTGATCCCCGCCGGGACCCGCCTGCACGGCCAGCGAGAAGTGCTCGTCTCCACTCAGCTCGTAGCGCTGCAGGGAGTTCGGGCCCGCGTCAGGGTCGTGAGCCCTGGCCAAGGGAATCCGCGACCCCGGGGCTGTCATCTCACTCATTGTCTCCTCCAGCTCCATTTCCTGGAAGCTGGGCGCGTTGTCGTTAACGTCCGTGATCTCCACTTCGATTTCGTAAAACTTCATTTCCCCCTCCACTATCACCTCACACCGCAGCACGCATTTCTCCACTAGCCGGCACAGCTGCTCCCTGTCTATCCTCTCAGCTGTCACCAAATGGCCCGTCTTCCCCTGCAGGGCGAAATACTGTGTCCTACCTTTGGAGACGACTCGGACGCCGCGGTCGCGGAGTGCCGGCAGTTCCAGCCCCAGGTCCTTCACCACGTCTCCCACGAACGAGCCCTTGGGCAGCTCCTCGGGAACCGAGTAGTGCAGCTGCCCCCAAGCCGCGTCCCACGCTGCCACCAAGACGGTGCAGAGCAGGGCTTGATTCCTCCGGCTCCAGCACCTTCCTCTCTCCGCCATTGCAAAGCTCGGCAGCACTCACCGAAGCCGCTCGCGGGGCACCGCTGCCGCTGCGCTCCTCCCACCGAGCCTTCTTCTGAGCAGCTCGGCTCGTACCGCTCCCACAGCGCTTCTTTCGGGCTCGGATCTTGCAGTCCCGCGACTCGTTCGCCTCTGCTGTGGCGGCTGGCTCCCTGAGTTCGGCCCATCGCATGTCAACAGCGACACTCGGAGCCTCAGACAGCAATTGCAGCGCAGCGGCACTGGTAAGCGGCTCTCCACTCCTGCTCAGCCGGCAGAGCTTGCTATTACCCGTGCTGTTTACAGACTCACAGGCATGCCTGCATTCAGGATAGTCTCTCCGACAAGTCCTATCCATCGTACTGCTTAGAATGTAGGTTGGAAAGAATATTTAAAGGTCAAATAGTTCCACCCCACGGGCGTGAAAGGAACACCTTTCACTAGACCAGGTTGCTCAAAGCCCCATCCGACCTGGCTTTGAGTATCTTGAGGCATGGGGCGTTTACCTTGCTAGGCAACTTGTTCTAGTGTTTCACCACCCACATTGTAAACAGTTTCTTCCTTATGTCTAGTCCAAATCCATCATCCTATCACAACAGGCCCTACTAAAAAGTCTGTCATCTTACAAGCTCTCTTGAATTAGTCCAAAATAAGGGTACCCCCAGAGCTGGATGTGATCTCCAGGTGGGGTCTCATCATGGCGGAGGACAGGGGCAGAGTCATCTCCCTTGACCTGCTGGCCATGCTGCTGCTAATTCATCCAAGGATATGGCTGGCTTTCTTGGCTGTGAGAGTGCATCACTGGCTCATGTCCACCTTTTTATCCACCACTACCCCCAAGTCCTTCTCTGCAGGGCTGCTCTCAACCCCTTCATCCCAGAACCTGTATTGATACTGGGGGTTGCCCATGTCACAATCAACTGAGGCTAAACAAAATGTATTGTTCAATTAAAGCTTCACCCACATTTACAGATTCGAGATGTCACATGGATTCACTAAACTGCCAATTCTTAAACTTTTAGGGCCAAATGATCCAAAATGCACTCTCACCTAAAAATGGAGGATTTGCAAGCACAAGAAGTTACCTTGGATGGTGTCACCTCATTACACTCAGGATCCCAACTTCCTTGCCCCTGTGCTTGCCACCATGTGGATGGAACAAGAGCTGAGCATAGAGGAAGCTCTCCCAGGATTTCATCAGTGAGGGGAAACTTCCATGGGCTTTTTCCAGGTCTTTTGTCAAGGCTTTCATCAGGCCAGGTGTACCTGCCACACTCTGACTCAGGTGCAGGATTTTACAATTGACCTTTTTAAACATCATGACATTCGAGCTTATCCAGCTCCCTCTGAATGGCATCCTGTCCTTCAGGTGTATGAACTCAACCATCAGTTCTGGTGTCATCTGCAAATATGCTGAGGGTGCACTTGATCACACTGCCTGTGTTGTTGATGAAGATATTAAACAGTACTATGGACCCTGGAGGCACACCACTGATTTCCATCTGAACTTTATGCTTAGAATATCCAGCCAATTCCCCATCCACTAAACAGTCCATCCATCAAATCCACCTGTCCCAATTTAGAGGATCTCACAGGAGCCCAGGTGGATATATTCCTTTGCTCACTGGTAAGTCATAGAAAGCCATTAGGCTGTCCAGGCAAGGCTTGCTCTTGGTAAAACCATGCTGGCTTGTCTTGAATCACTTCCCTGTCCTCTATGTGCCTTAACGCATCTTCTAGGAAGATGTTCCATAATCTTCCAAGGTACAGAGATGTAGAGAGCCTGACAGCAGAATGGCTGCAGGACAAAGGCCACGAGACTGTGCAACTAGTCAAGATCTAGGCCGAAGGACACAGCAGCAACTGTGTGGTCAATGGTTGCTCAAGGACAGGATGTATGCTTGCTGAGATAGCGCAACGGTAATGCTTGAGCAAGTTGAAACATGTTGAAACAAGAAGCGGTCGCGGTTATTCAGAAACCCCTGCGTCAGCACAAACTAACCAATGATTTTACTGTACCCTAGCAGAAATTGTATCTAACACTGAGACTATAAAAATGGCTGTATCTTGCTAAATAAACGAGACTTGCTGACCATGATAGCATGAGGCTTGTCTTCCGCGACTCCGACACAGAGATGTTGAGGGTACTAGTTCCCAGGGTCCTCCTTTCAAACCTTTTTAAAAATGTGGTATTTCCCTTTTTCTAGTCACCAGGGACTTCACCTACCTGCCATGACTTTTGAAATATGGTTTGTCAACTACATCAGCCAATTCCCTCAACCTTGTCCCATAAACTTACGTGTTCCAGTTCCTCTGGTTGTCTCAAACCTGATCTTACCGGGGAAGCGCTTTGCTCCCGCTGTAGAAGCCCTTCACACTATTCTTTGCATCCCTTGAAAAGTTCAGCTTCAGCCATGCCTTGGCCTTCCTGAGTTCACCCCTGCAAGAAGTGTCCCTAGACTCTTCTCAGGATACCTATTCCAGCTTCTGCTGCCCGTGCATTTCCTTCTTGCCCCTTAGTTTCACTGGCAAGTCTTTACTCAGCCATGTCACTCTCTTGCCTTCCATTCCATGCCTTCCATCCTGGTCTGGAACATTACTCCCCCAACCTCTCTGCTTTGCAGAGGCCTTTGCACATCCAAGTTCCCTGGGAGGGTAGGGGCCAGTTTGCCCCGGTTTGGATATAACTGGGCCCCATCACAGCCAGATTTCTTATGTGGGGGGACTGAGAGGTCGCAGTGGAAAGTGTCCTTAAAAGATGTCAGCTGTATTACGCTCCTTTGTCCCTGAGAGTAGTTTTTCAGGGGTCTAACCCCTTGAACAGTGGGAAGTGTGTTTTCCTAAAATATAGGGACGTGACTTTACTCTTCACCTGACTTATAAACCTCAAGACTGCAAAACCAACCAGTGTGTGACCACTGCAACCCAGGCTGTCTCCAATCTTGATGTCTCGGATTAGCTTGCTTGTGCTGGTGACCAACAGGTCAAGAAATGCATCTCCTCTGGTAGGTCTCCTACCTGAACTAAGTCGGGGGGGCACTTCTGATGAGCCCCTCAGGAAAGCTCAGCACTTTGTGCAGGTTCTCCAGTGCAGAAAAGAGCGTTTCCCTGTCTCATTCTGAGGTGATAAATCCTCAAGTTATGCAGTGCATCAGACAACCAGACCCTGGAACAACCTAAGCTGCAGTTTTACACCAGGAGGTGCTGGTTCCTTGTGTCTCTGGAAGAGATACATGCCAACTCTCTCAAATGTCTTTTACAACTCTGTTATAGTCACCATTGGAGGAGATGAACAACCATAATTCCATGTCCCTTTAGATGCAGAGAACCCCGAGCAGAGTAGCTACATAGACTCCAGCCACACATTGCCAGGCAGACCCCACTCAGAGAAAAGAGTGACCCTGTTTCAGTCCTTCAAGCCTTTTTAGGCTTCCTGCAAGACAAATTTCTATTGTTTCTCGTGTCTCAGGAAAAGAAATTCTTATGCAGCCTCCTTGCTTGCAGGTGGCTTTCTCACCAGTAGCAAGTGCAAGTTACCTGCGGGTTCCTCTGTTAACATGAACTGTCTGTGGAACAGGGATTTATGCCATAGAACACATCTGATAGCCTAAGCCTGTGCCTTCCAAGGTCAACTGGACAGTGGATCACAGTCTGATGTACAATGGTCTTTCGGTCAGCATCCCTACACTAGCCTGTTGTCAGGACTTACCTTTTTATCAGGACCTTGTGAAAGGGAGACTGTAATCCTCTATTTCTCAAGAGCAAAGCCCCTTCCTGGTTGTTGTCTTTGTTCACCAAATGCCCAACTCCTGGAGCTCCCCCAAACTCTTACCAAAGGAACAGGGATGTCATCTTTGTGACATCCATCTTCTGAAACTCCAACTATAGTCTCACAGTTTATGCTGGAAAGCTTCCCAGTTTCCATCTGCAGCTGGAGCTATCAGAAGAGTTGGGAAGGTCACTCTTGCCATATCCCTCTTTTGTAGAGGCCTTTACATACACAGGTCACCCAGGAAGAGGAAGATGTTGCCCCATCACAGTACTGAAGAGACCTGTAGAGACCTGACAGTAATACCCTACTCCCCACAACTTTCCTGAAGGTTTGCTGGCAACCTCTCCCAATTCAAGAATTGTAACCACTCAATCTTACCTCAGCCAAGGGACATGTGAAAAACACTCCTGGCCCTTTAGAATCTGTGACAGAGCTTTCCCAGAAAGAACAGCTCTACAAAGATGACCGGCTCCACACAAAGCATTTGGGTGTTCTCTTTATTTTGCTTTTACATGCAAGGGTCTTCTGTGTTACAACAGCACAGCTTATAACTGCAGCACAACACGTGAGGGTTTCCAAATATCCTATCATGCTGCTTTCATTCAAACAATCTTTTATTATACATGGTGGTGACAGTCCTTCTTAAGAGGAAGAGGCAAGAAAATGTTCAAATACAGTTCACGGGGTGGGGGGGGGGGGGAAGGAAAATGTGAATGCTCTAATTAAAAAAACAGAAAATCATAGCAGGACATATTTTCACTCCCATTATGAAGCCTCTAAATTTGGGAACTATACGGACCAGACCAAATCCAATTCCTCTCTTCTGAGTTCAATTTCACCTTCAGAATTGGCAGCTAAGCCAAAGTTCTTACCGTCTGCAATCCACCCAAGGACAAGGAACATGTTCTCACAACTCTGTATAGTTACAGTCTTAGAAGGCAATTCCACTGTGCCAAAAGTCAAGCACACGGGCCAGAAAATCATCTTGGCCAAATAGGGAACTCCTTGTGGAGCTCCAGAGGAAAAAGAAATTATATGATCTCTGGAAGTAAGGTCAGGATATGCAGGAAGTTTGCAGAGCTGTGGTTCATATATGCAGGGAGAAGGCATGAAAGGCCAAAACATGATCAGAGTTGAAACTGGCCACTGTTGTGAACAACAGGAATGGCTTTTAAAGTAAGTTCATAGCAAGAGAAGTTTGCAAGAAAATGTGAATATCACACCCTAACAGGGACAAAAAGAGTTGGAGGTGTTCAATGCTTTTCAAGTCAATTGTTAGTCCCTAGGGCTGCCTGGTCACGCGAGACAGAGGACCACAAGTGCAGGCTCCATTTGTGGACCAGCTGTATGGACAAAATTATATGGGACATGATGGGATTCTGCCCAAAGC